GCGCTGGCGGCCGTGCCCGCGGGGCTGGGCGCGTTCACGCGAGCGCTGTGAGTACCGAGTCCCCGCGGCGGCCCTGAGCGCCGCACCGCGCCTGCGCCGGCCCGAGACCCTCCTGCCTCAGCCTCCCCCGAGGGCCCCGGCCCGGGACCTGGGCCCAGCCTCCTCCCCGCGGTGGGGTGTGGGGCCTGCGGACCTCCAGACGCCGCGCGGACACCTGCGCCGCAGGCCCGGCCAGGGAGGGCAGCCTGGGCCTGTGGCGGACTCGCCCACAAAGCCTAGGAGGGACGCGGCGCGGCCTGAACCTGGCTCGAGGGAGGCTGAGGCAGGAGGGTGGCGGGCGGGGCGCCGTGAGACCCGCGACTCCGCTGCGGACTGGGTTTGGGCTCAGCGTGGCCCGGTAGGGGCGGGGGGGGGGTCTGCCCGGCCGAGCGCCCCGGGGCCTCCGGGTCTCCCCCCGCAGGCAGAGCCGGAAGCCGGGCCGCCCGGCCTCGTCGGGTTCTGGTCCCGGTCCCGGCCCCGGCCCGTACGGTTCTGTATCCCTGTTCCCGTAACTGTGCCCCAGGGAGCGTTTAGTTCCAAGTGCTAGTGAGCACGCGTGTGTGCATGCATGCATGCATGCTCGTGTGTGTGGCCGTGTGGCCCCACAGCCCTACGCTGAGCTGTAGCCCAGGCTCTTATTTTTCAGTTGAGACCAGCAGGGCTGGAACCTGCGATCGTCCTGCCTCAGCTTTTCTGAGCGCTGGGGTCAGTGTCGGCACCCGCAGCCCGGGATCGCAGGGAGCGCTGTCTCCCGGGCCCTGGGCTGTGAGGCGCAGCGTCGAGCCTGGGTCCTCTCCCTTGTCGTCCCGGGCTTCCTGGGGCTTGTCCAGTCCCCCTCAAGCTGGCTCTGGTCCCTGGCTGGGGGCAGCCTATCTTGTTCTCCTGCCTCACCCTCGGCCCTGGTCCCTGGGGATGGTGGCACCAGTCCTGGCTGCGCTGGTGGCATCTGTGCCCCAGGAGGAGCCGTCTTCCACAGGTCCCTCTCTGTCAGACGGAGCCAAGGCTGGCCCTGTGTTGCTTGTAGTCGAGGTTGAGGTCCTCTGCTTTGTCCTGGCTTCGTGTCTGTGAGACAAGTGTCAGCCTGTGGCCCTGGATGGCCTTGGCAGAGATCCCTGCCAGGGAAGCCACCTGCTTCTGCCTCCCGAGTGTGCCCGTTACGGGGTGTAAGGGTTGCTCTAGAGGTGCAGTGACCCAGGCCCCGGAATTGCTGTTCGGGGACAGATTCAGCGTGGGGGTGGTGTCCGGCCTGCCAGCTGCAGCAGGTGTGTGTGATTGTAAGGCCTGGGCTGGGTTGCTGGGGTCTGGGGGGTCTGCTGCCAGCAGAGTCCACGGCGGGTGGTTGGGAGGATCAGTGTCTGCCTGTCCTCCGGCACGTGTCCCCGTGGAGGGCTTTGCGACCACAGACCTCAGTTTACCTTTGCGGACCCCAGGTTAGGTCTGCACCTGGGTTGCAGATTCCAAAGGCCTTTCCCGTGGTTGCTGGTGCCAGTGTGCCTGGGTCTTGTGGTTCTCGGGTCTGGTGGCGGGAGTGTGGCCCTGGGAGTGCATGCGACGGTGCCCTGGTGTGAGGGCCTCAGCAGTCTGAGCCTTCGGGTCGCCCAGAGCCCTGTGGCCAAAGACGTCTGGCCTTGTGGAGAATCGGGGTGCCCAAAGCCGCTGGTTGCCAGCCCTCTTAGCAAAAGCTGGGCCCAGGATGGGGCCTGTGTGCCACATCCTGCGGGAACACATGACCCTCGGAAAGCCGAGTTCTCTGCTCCAGCCTCAGCGGGCAGGGCACACCGAGAGCAGTGGCGCAGCCTGCTGCTCGCTCCTCTGGGCTGGACTGGCTTGGGTTCTGAGACAGCGTGCCCAGGCTGGCTTTGGCCACCCCCAGCTTCCCCCTGCCTCAGCCTTCCCAGGCAGGGGTTCCATGCTCTTAGCTGCTCGTGCTGGTCTCCTAGAGATGAACTGTTTCGAGGCGCAGTGGTGCGATGCATCTCCTGCCAGCTGGGCAGCGCTGAACCACCCCATCTGCAGTTGACAGTCCTTGGGGAGGGTTTTCTTTCTGTTATTTGATTTTTAAGTTTTTTTTCTCCACCAATCCCTTTTTCTCTTTATGTTTTGTTTTGTTTGCGATACTGTGTAGTTGAGGCTAGCCTTGGTCTCACAGAAATCTTCCTGCCCCAGTCTCCTGGGTGTTGGTGTGACAGGTGCACACACCATGCCCTGCTGGAATTTCGGAGAAGCCCTCGGGCTGCCCATTTATTTATGTATTTATTTATTTATTTATTTTGCGGAACCGGGGATTGAACTCCGGCCCTAGCGCTTGCCAGGCAAGGACTTATTGTACTGAGCCATCTCCCCGGCCCCTGGGCTGCCCACTTCAGCCGTGCACTTTTCCTTGGGGTCTTGCTGTCCCTTCAGGCAAGGATAATGAGAGGTCCCAGCCAGCAGGCCCACATTTGCCAGTGTCGGGTGCTCTGGCAGCTCCGTCTCCAGAGACCAAAGCGCCCGGGTGCCTGGCACTGCAGCACTTTGGCCTGACCTGCTGTCCTCCTGGCAGGTGGGCCGGGGGCGGCCAGTGTTTTTCTCTTGACGCTGTAGACACTTAAGGGGAAAGGAATCACTTCCTGACTGATCAGCTCTTTGTACAAAAAGGAAAGCCCAGGTGTGGTGGTGCATGCAAGTAATCCCAGCACTTGGAGGCTGAGGCAGGAGGATCCTTGCACGTCTGGGCCATGTTACTCAAGGACTGTTTCCTACCTTCAGCTGCCCTCATGTAAACCGAGAAGAACCAGCCTGGGCTATGTAGCGAGACTGTTGCAAAAACTAAAAAAGTGTGGTTGGTGTAACCCTAACCGTGCCTTGGACTTGGAAGGACATGCTCTGCCAGCCCGAGTGTTCCGCACAAGTTGGCTGTGTGTAAATGTGGTCCCCAGGCCTGAGCGCAGTGCTCTGGCCTTGGCCTGCTGGGCTGTCTGAGCCCCTCTCCTCCTCAGCTCCTGAGACCTGAGGAGGGTCATGTGGTAGCCAGTCTGGCCCACTCCAGTGGCTCCTAAGGCCCTGTGTGGTGTAGACCTAGTTCTGTGTTCAGCAGGATTTTTAAACACACCTGGACATGCTCTGGGTCATGTCCTGACCTTTCTCTTCCTGTGCTGGCCGTTGGACCCAGGCCCTTGCCCTGAGCTACATCCTCCGCCCTTTTGATGCTCAATTTCAGACCAGGTTCTGCGAGGTCACTGTGTTGCCCAGGCTGGTTTTGAATGTACACTCTTCCTGCCTCAGCCTCCCAGAGTGCTGGTTGCAGGTACACGCCGCTGCGTCCAGTTTAAACATGCTTTTATGCCAGGGCCTGTTTTGCTACGGGGGCATGCTTCTGGCTCTTCTTGTACCAGCCGTTGGCATCACACTCCTCTCGGTGTACGTGCGGGTGGCTGAGGGCAGGAAATGAACACTTAATCCAGGTGTAGGAGCTCATGCTTGCCATCCTAGCACCCAGGAGGCTGAGGCAGGAGGATTGCCCTGAGTTTGAGGCCAGCCTGGACTATACAGAGCCTTAGAATATATGTATGTGCTGTCACAAGTTTGCTTTATCTTGTTTTGGCTTTTTGAGGCAGGGTTGTGCCCTGTAGCCCAGCCTGGCCTTGAACTCACCATGTAGCCTAGGGCTGGCCTCAAACTCATGGCAATTTTCCTGCCTCAGCCTCCCAAGGACTAGGGTTGCAGGCATGTGACTCTTGCCTGATTTAGCTGAGTTCATTTCTTTACATCCCCTTGTTCAGATCCCCAGAGAACTTTACAAGTGCAGCCCATTGAAGAACTGTAAAGAAAGCCTTCTTCTCCTCAAATAATTACAGACGTCAAATTTGGGGAATTGTCTCAGTTACTCTTCTCTTGTTGCCAGGACAAATACCCAACACTCAAAATGCAGGAAGGAAAGGTGTATTTAGCTCTCAGTTACTGGAGGCTTCAGTTACTGGCTGGCTTCAGGGCAGAGCGGCACATGGCAGAGAGCAACCTTTCATGGCGGCAGAAGGCGCAAAACAGCAAGAGCAAGAGGGAGGCGTGAGAGCACCCAGGGCTCCCGGGAGCAGGTCTGTCTCTCTGTGTCATGTTACTTTCGGGCCCTCCGCTCCAGGCTGGGTGTAGCGCTGACACCCGTAATCCCAGCAGTACTCAGACGCACAGTCCCAGCCTTGGATCATGAATTAATCACAAACTCCAGAAGTCTGCCCCATGACTCCACGAGGCTTTGGGGGAACAATGAGACATAAACCATAGCATTCTGCCCCAGGAGCCCCAAAGTCTCATGCACATCCCTTCCCGCAGAAGGCCTTTTAGTCCATCTCTAAGAGTTACCAAGTTCCCAACGGTTTCAGCCTTGCTGAAGAGTCCAAGTCCCAAGTGTGCTCCTCAGTTTAAGGCAAACTTAGCTGTGAACTTCTGTACAAATGAGAAGTTAAACACTTCCAACATTCAGTGGCACAAGATAAACATCACCATTCCAAAAGGTACAAACAACAGGAGAATACCAAGCATTGGGACCAACACAAGTCCAAACTCCAGCAGGGCGAACATTAAGTCCCGTAGCTCCATGGGGAGCATGCGAAGCGATCTGTGTGGAGCCGTAAGCTCCAAAGGCCTTGCATGGCTCCGCCCCGCAGCGCTGTGCTGGTAGCTCCCAGGGCTTCTCTCTCAGGCCTGCTTCGCCCACTCCTTGCAGCTTCCCCTAGATGATCCATGTTCCTGGCTTTTCCAAACTTCTGGGGTTTCCACTGAGTGGGTTTCTCCCAGCTTCACACACTGCCCTCTCAGGGGCACACTGCCTGGCCTCCCAGGCCTTCCTCTGAAATCGAGGTGGAAGCCTTCTTAACCTCAGAACTCCTGCATTCTGCATGCACCTAAAACCAAGGCGCGTGGATGATGCCGAGGGCTGCTGCCAGCTGGAGCCGTAGCCAGGCCTTCCTCTCTCTTGGCTGTAGGGGTCCAGTGCCTGGATCGCCGAGCACTCTGACCCTGATTCCAAGGA